TAAAATATTAATTCTAAACCCTAAAATATCAATTCTTAACTCTAGGCCCTAAAAAGTAAATCCTAAACCCTAAAAATCAATGCTAAACCCTAAAATATCAATTATAAACCTTAAACCCTAAACTTTAAACCCTAAAAAGTAAACCTTAAACCCTAAAAAATCAACACTAAACCCTAAACTATCAATCGTAAACCCAAAACCCTAAACCCTAAATTCTAATAGTATTTTGACTATTAAAATTTTGATGGTAAAATTGGTTAGTGTAAAGTTGAAAAGTGGTACATTGAAAGTGTTATTTCTGGCAATTTCCCATAACACATGTTATTAAGGTAAGCTAAGTCTAAAACAATTGTACTACTAAATTTTATAAAAAAAGAGAGAACACATGTTTGAATATTTACACTTAGTAGTACTCAAGGTTGTAGTAATATTTCATTCTTCATAGTAATAATTTTCTAATTACAGCAATTCTAGTAATACCATATTAAAAATCAAATTTATTAGTAATACCAATGTATTTAGATAGTTTATTATATTGTTTATAACACATTGGCGGAAAACAAATTCAGAAAATATGTATTTTCTATTATTCATGTCATTATGGTCTTTCCATCAAGATGTTAGTATAGAAGTACAAATATGTTTTGGGAGAATTTCAATTATACCACTTTAGTGGTACCACTTTTGATGTTTACCATCAACAAAGGAACATTTTCAACAATACACATTTTATTAAAGGATAAAAGACTCTTATATCCTTGTTCTTTATATATATACATAAAATAAATATTAAATAAAATATTAACCCTAAACCCTAAAAAATCAATTCTAAACTCTAAACCCTAAACCCTAAACCGTAAACCCTAAAAATCAACCCTAAACCCTGAAATATCAATTCTAAACCTTAAACCCTAAACTCTAAACCCTAAAAAGCAAACCCTAAAGCCTAAAAATCAACACTAAACCCTAAACTATCAATCCTAAACCCAAAACCCTAAACCCTAAATTATAATAGTATTTTGACTATTAAAATTTTAATGGTAAAGTTGGTTAGTGTAAAGTTGAAAAGTGGTATCTTGAAAGTGTTATTTCTGGCAATTTCCCATATGTTTTCTATGGAAACGAGAAGTTTTCTATCAACTTGAGAAATTAAGAGTTTTTTATGTCTAATTTGACAAATAAACACATATATAGATATATAATCTCGTACTATATGAGATACATCTTCTAAAAATAATTATTCAGACGAAAAGTAAGGTTCTTAGAGATATGCCTAATACATAGTAGTTCCAAGGTATTCCAAGGTAGTTCAAAGTAGTACCTAGTAGTTCATAAAACATCAAAATAAATGAATAAATATTTTAAACTTGTAAAGTTTATGTGAACGAGATAAATAATTTTAACTTAAAAAAAAATAATTTATTTAAATATTATATTAAATTAATTTTAAAACTATAAGTGTGACTATTGGAATATTGATTTTAATAAATTTATATATTGAAATTTTTTTTAATCAAATCCAGTTAAAAAGAAATACTTTGTAATATCAGGATTTATAGAAATATTTTATTATTTTTTTCTGATTAAAATATCTTGAAATACATATACTATTAATTTTTATTTTAAAATATTTTTATATAACCACAATTTATAGAAATATTTTCATAAATATCATATTTATTTTTGATATTAATTATTGATTTAAATATTTTTTATTACCATGAAAAAAACAGTGACAAAAAAATAAAAAAATACATATTTTATTAAATTGTATTTTTTAAATATTATTGGAATGGTTTATATAAATATTTTGAAATGAATTTTTGATTAAAAATCGAAAAATATTTTATTTTAAATTTTATATATATGAGGTAAAATTTTAATTTAGGAAAAGTAATTTATAGAGATTTTGTAAAATTATTTTTAAAATTAATTTTTGATTAAAATATTATTAAAATAATATCTTCTTTTATTTTATTATTTATAAAAATATTATTTTACGATATACGGAAAATTGTTAGTTTGATTTCATAATTTTCGTTATTAATAAAAAATTAGTAAAAGATTTTTTTTTAAAAAAAAATCTGGCCTGAACAAATCTAGCAAATTTTTTTTTTAAAAATATATAGTTGTGGGTTCCGTAATTTAGAAAATAAAAATAAAAATATAAAAGAAAAGGAAAAGGTAAGAAGGTAAAGGGAAAAATGTGGGGTAGTGAGAAAAATGCTAGGGCAGTGAGCATCGATTTCTTGTAACTAGGGTGATATAGAATACTTTCCTTAGTCTTCATCTTGGTGTTCTTCCGAGACCTAAAATTTTCATTTGTTTTCTCTCATACCAACAATGGCGTCTAGAGAGACTGATGACTGAAATAGAGATAGACAGCCTCTTTGTTTGTCTCCATTAGGATCGTTTGGACTTCTACTCTTGACAATCGTAACCGTCCGAAATTCAAATCAGTGCCATCATTCCCTTCTTAACTCCACACACCGACATCAAACACGATCTGATCTTTATTATGAGTTATTCCTCTGCAAGGCGGTTTACTCTACACCTATAAAAAGGTTAATTAGCTTTCTTCACATGAACATCATCCTCTCAATCCGTCAAAACACCAAAGATAAATTTAATTTCTGTGATATGTCCAACTCCTCAATCATCTTCTCTGATTTGAGATCCTACCGCTACTCCACTGTTCAAGTGTGGTTGCGCAGGTTCTGGTTCCCTCTGATTTTATTGTTGTTCGATTTTGCTCTTAGGTTTGATGTAGTTCGGTTCTGTTCTTATGGTTTGTATTTCGTTTGTTGTTGGTGTTTGTGTTTGTGTGAGGGTCGTTTCATTTAGGCAATACTCCATTCTAAAGTTGTGTGTTTCTCTTGCTTATGATATGTCAACGGTGAATATGTTTTTTGTTTCAAACGGTCAATAACATCATGGATTCTTTTCTCATTTTATTAAAGATAACAACACTCTCCTGCTTCTTTTTTTTTTTTCATGGATTCATCTTTTTTTTTTCCTTGGTTCCGTGAACTTAGATAGAAAGGTCTATCTTCTCAGGAGAAGAAAGGAGTATTGTTGAGAGGTTTAAAGGGATCAAACAATATTTGGACTTGAATTCTGCTCGCGTATCTCGCTAAAAAGATTTTTTTTTTGTTTTATTGATTGCAGGATGTGTTCGTGGCAAGACGAGCAAAAACCTCTCCAAAAACGGAGAGGTGGATCAGCGAAGAGGAAATGAAGCAACATAAAAACTGAAACCATGAGAGGTAGAAAGCTCTCATGTGAGGCTTACGACAGAGAATAGCCGGAAAGTTGAGATCATGTGCTCGAAGCTTTCTAGAATGTGAACAAGATACACACATGAACAATGAATGGTTGTTAATGGTTGGGAGCATGTGCTTGAAGCTTTCTAGATTCCATTCTGAAAGTGCAGCGAGTGTGAGGTGAGTACACTCTGTAATTTTCCCCTTTACTCATTTTTTTTAGAGATCAGTAGCAATGGAGTTTATATAATGTTTGAAATGAATGTTGATTGATTGAAGAATTAAATGGCAATGAGTTGAATTTAGTTTCATATAAGGATTGATTAATTTATAAACAACCCATCGACTAATTTATCTCTTAATTTTGTCTTTAAGACTGCAAATAAGGGAGTTTTCGTTTAGCACTGGTCTTTAAAATCATTAACATGTTGATCATCTTGACATTTAAGTCCTTGAGCTTCTTCAGATTAGCCAAGAATAAGAGGGTAAGTATTCCACGCTCATGGTAAAGTACCTTACATTAAAGACCTTGAGATTCAAGCGATTAACTATTTTGATTCATTTTCTCAACTTAAACGCATTTGCTCCCACATATCATTTATCTTGAATGTCTTCTCTAATGAAACTGTTATTGTGAAACAGTTCACAAGAATTTTTAGAGATGAGTGAGGATTAACGAATGTTTTCCGGACCATTGGAGAGGAACACAACGAGTATGTCCTTATGAACTGGAGAGAAGGCTACGTGAGCTCATGGAGACAAGAAAAGAAGGGTATATAAAAGAGCTAAAGACTTCATTGGAAGACTCTAATAAAAGTCTTTATGTGACAGCATCTGAAACTTCTTGGTGGAAAGACACCTCATATGTAGTCGTCTCTTTGTGAAAGAGCCAACAAAGAAAAAAGAATAGTTACAAGTTAGATTTACCAAAGGAGTGCGAAGTCTCATTCACAAAGAAAAGTGAATTTGTATTAACAGTAAAGTCGGTCATGAAATTACTAAATAATCAGTATTTATAGGATTTTCTCAACAAAAAAAGATTGTTAGTAATTTAAACCCTCAACTAAACATATATCGTAAAACAAACTCTCAACTAAAAATCATGTAAAATAAACCTTCATCTTTATGTTCATTTATGTTTTCGCTCCTCCATAACCTTTTCGTTAATAGTTAATGTTTTTCCGTCGAAAGTTGACGATAAAAGTTACGGAGGGGCAAAAACATTAACGGACATAAAAATGAGAGTTTCTTTCACAGAATTTTTAGTTGAGGGTTTGTTTTATGATTAATCTTAAGTTGAGGTTTTAAATTACTAAAAATCCATAAAAATAAAACCGGCAGATTTGAACAGCTCCACAGCTGGAGAACAAAATCCAAAGTCGGAGAACTAAAAACATCGAACTACCATCAGCACCAAACACCCAGCTCCAACTCTGCAACCAGACTAATAACTTTACCCAAAAAAACCTTAAAATTGAATCGAACCATAACTTAACAATTCGGTTTAGTTTTCGTTAACACAGTAAAACTCAGTCGGTTACAAGGTTTCTAATAGAACCGTTATTACATATGGAAATAAAGGTAAAAAAACTATTGTTTATAAAGTAACACGTACTATATAAAATAGGGTTTAGCCTTTGTCCTCCCAAACTCTGCGCGGCTTTCTCTCTTCTTCGAGTTTTGTTTTCCTGGTAAATCGAAATTGTCAAAACCCTAGAAACGTTTAGTGCCGTGATCATGGCGACTCCAGCTGATGCTAGAGCTGTCAAGTCTCTCAACAACTCTGAGGGATCGAATAAATTTTCGGTTCGTCTTCTCCTTCTGCTTTTTTTTTTAAATGTAAATACCGCTTCAGAAAATTCACTGACAAGTCTTTCGATTTTTTTTTATGTTACTTGTGGATGCAGTTCGAGAAGGTCTGTGTGAAAATGCAAAAAGCTAAAACAGAAGTTCTCAATGTCTTTAAGAGCTTGGAGAAGGTGAAGGCTGAGCCTTCACATGGTTCCACGTTTCTCAAGGATTGCCTCGTAGAATTGAGGGTATGTCACTTTTGATCATGTTCCTTCCTTTTAAAATTTTAAATCTTTGTTCTTCTTTTTGTGACCTTGTCTTGCCCAACTTTTATTATGCTATGGATAAAAAAAATGCAGGAACTGAAATTATAGTCTTAAATTCCTTTGCATCATGATTGTGCCAACCTTTAATTTTATTTGGTTGGTTAAAATGCAGGAACTGAATACAGCAAAACATTTTATTAAATCCTATGAAACGATGTTGCCCTCTGTTCAAACACTGCCGTTGGTTATCTCCCAAAAAGAAATAATCTTCTTAAAGCTTGTCTCTGGATTGCATAAGGATGCAATACTCTCTCTGGAAGCCTTTCTCGGGTATGCTGCCTTATCTTCCCACACTCATATCTTCAATCCAGTGCAAGCAAGCAGATAAAGCATGAAGAAATAACGTATCTTTTTCTGTGTGGATACATAAAAAAACCATATCTTTCTTTCTTTCTGCGCAGGTTGGTTGCTGCTCTATCGAGAGATCTCTTGGACAGCTTCATTCCGTGAGTATTTGTTAATTTTCTTTTATTCCTTTTTCAGCTTCACACTACACTTTTCTGGTTTTTGAAAGTGTTTAGGATAATAATTCTTAGTAACTGTCGATGCTGCTGACACTTATGTATACATTAGAGTAGTAGTCCAAATAATATGCTTAGCTTCCTCTTAAAAGTGAAAAAAGACTAATGTAATGATATATCTTAGTGTTTACCTTCCTTCTCTAATGGTCAGAACAGGTCACTAACTTGAATTTATATGACTCCTGTCTCAAATGTATACGAGAGAGTACTAGACCACTAGCAAGTTTACTTCCTTCTTGACTTTCTTCTTAGAGTCAAGAAACTCGAGCTTGGCTTGTGGTCTCTTTGATCAGTTGTTGTCTTTATATTCTAACCGATTCCTTTTGTATATTCCTTGTCTAGCTTCCTACCACGGCTTGTTAAGTGCTTAGTGACATTCCTGAAGAATGGTGGTCAGGAAGAGCCAAAGATTGTTAAGCAGGTATTTGCTGTTGTCTAACATGTTTTACACTCAGAACAATGACTTACTATTACAGATTATTTTTGGCTGATATTTCTGGTCCTTGCCTTTCATGAAGATATTCGTTTCATGGTCGCGCATAGTAATGAACCTGCAGAAGTATCTTATCTGCGACATCGAAGGTGTTCTCCGGTAAGTGGATTAGTATTGTAGTTTTCTTCAGTTGAGTTCAAAATACATGAACGTTACATGCTGCTAATGATACTGAATTGTACACTGTAGGTTTCTTCGGTTTATAGATTTCTCGTTTTCTTTTGATGTAGGGATACACTGGAGCTTAGGTACTACCCCGTAGAATTTATCAACGAATTGATGTCATTTTCGATGGCACTTTTGTTGAGGACTGCACGGGTTGAGCAACTCGAGATAGGTGATGAATTGCTTTATTTATTTATTTATTTATTTATGTTTTCTCCTTGTCTTTGTTAGAGAATTTCAAGTTGATTCTTGTCTCTATGAACGTAACAGGGATCAAGATGATCCTTTCTGAAGTTTCAGACCCACTGAATAAATGTGGAGGAGCTATTCTACTATATCAAATTATGATGGATACTTCTGGGAAACGTCTCCATTCCAAAGCTGGAAACGCTTTAAGTTTCTTGCTGAAAGATTCAACATTGTCCTCTTGTGATTCCGGAGGCAAGTCCTCTTTTCTAAAAACATATGTTAAAATTTTCTTATTTATAAGCATCGTGTGTTTTCTTTATATTCTCTTTAGTATATCCATTTCTGTCAATCTCGCTTGTGATTAGTTTAGAAACTAGTTGGTATCGTATAATCTTGAATTTATACTATGTTTGCTGTTGTATCGCGTTACAGGCTCTTGTAGTAAAGTAGAAGCTGTGAGTTCAGCTTTGCAAAGAATATGCAAGGAAACTAAAGCAGAGGAATTAACCGTTATGTGGAACTGTTTATTTAAAGAGACAAAAGAATCAATCAAAAACAAAAACTCAGCTCATTTGAGTCGACTCTTGACACTGCTTACTTCAGCTGTTGGGGTTGGGAAAGGTCTCAAAGTTGATGGTGAGTTATATCTTATTAGACACTCACGCATAAAAAAACATAGATTTGCATAATTGTATTTCCAGGTTTAATTCCCTATCCATGTGAAACAGATTACACATACTTGGTTGGACTCGTGAGCCAGATTGTACCAACTTTTATGGATTCCTCTGATGTCCTAGATAAATTTCTGGGACTGATGTTATGCACCATTGACATACCCAGTGATGTCAATGAAATTGAATCCATTGCTTCACAGTTGACCCCTATTTTTTCGTTGAAGAGTTTAAGGTATCTTTTTTTTAAAAAAAAAAATTCTTCAATGCTAAATTCCATTTTTTTTAGCTTTGTAATTGATCATGTAATTGTCTCAGTTTGCTAAATTTCTTCCGGGGGCTGCTTCAGAAGAAGGGTGAATTATTAGTGCAAGCCTTTGCGAGTAATATATTAAGGTAAGACTCTTTTTTGTTTTTTCTATTACCTCTTTAAAATCTGCCTATCTTTATGTCTGTAGTGACTAACTTATGTGTTGCAGTTGGATCAACAATATGATTACGGAGTCATCAGACGAGGTTATTCCTCTGTTATTATCACTGTGTAAGAAGCAGCAAACTAGTCACGACAAGGTGGATATTGTATATGGATCATTTGATAGTATTCAGGAGTTCTTGGAAGACAAGATTAAGAATATTCAAACAGATGTAGAGAATAAAGGATTAGCTCAGATTCATAAGGCTGAGTTGGCTGCTGTCTGGGGAGCTGTTAATTGCTTTCCCTTTTTCAAAGTGGATTCATCATTACTGATTCGCTTCAAGAATACACTGAAACAGCAGTTGGCTGCCTCAGTTGGTAAGTTTTTGCCCTATCTCCACTTTATTACACTGATATTCTTGACCATGGTCATTTCTTAGAAGTTATCATAATGTTTTTCAGTCAGCGGTTCTAGTGCTCAGGAACTGATGTGGCAGAGCTTACTTGGTGCTGCTTTGAGGTCATGTCTCAAAATCAATTCTACTGGAGGACTCATCCACCAGAGTGATGTAGAGGAAGCTTTGTCTCTTGCTAAATGTTACAAGTCATGTGTACAAGTGCTGTCTCCTGTGGCCGACTATTTGGATTCTGTGTATAGGTGAGTTTGTATGTTCTGTTGGTTTACTCAGTTTTTTTAAATCCATGTTTGAGGATCACTGATTCGGTTTTTAAATTGCAGACCTCTAAACTCTAAGCCATGTCAAGAACTCCAAGCAAACAATGCTGAAGATGCATTTGACAGATTTTCTGAAAATTTACGTCACCCCAACAAAGACATCCGTCTTATGACGTTAAGGATCTTGTGCCATTTTGAAACTTTGTCTCCTGACCCTTGTGTTGAAGAGCATCGTCCAATGAAGAAGATGAAAACTGAATTTTCCTCTAAAACGAATGATGTCACTACGAATGTGAGTGACATCTTTAGTTCTGTATTCCAAAATCCTTAACCCTCAAATCCAGATTGATTTTATTAACAGTTGTATCTAATCATTACCAGGTTCTTCAGTTAGTGAAAACAGTTGAAGAATCTCATCCCACTTTACCGAGTAAGAAGGATTTGGCCGCAATACGGCATCTCCCTGATGGCAGGATACATGATGCATATGTGCCGCTTGTATTCAATGGAATGATAGGGCTATTTCATACAAATAATGAATCTACTGAAATATGGGAACCAGCATCTAAGTGCCTTGCTGTGCTTCTGAAGAAGCACACAAACGCGGTGTGGAACAATTTTGTTCATTATTTGGACCAGTACCAACTAAAACTTGGAGCACACTACAATCATAGTGAGAATGAAAATTACAGCACTTCACAGAAGCACACTGGTAAGGTTTTTCACTGTTTCAGATTATATCAGTCTCTGTATTTTTCTTTTCATTTACATTTTTGATGTTTGGATTTTTTGCATTCTGCAGGTCTGATGGAGAGTTTCCATGCATTTCTCTTCCCGCCTTATAATATTGCGCCTACAACAGATGTAGTATCTCTGTTGCTAAAGACCTTACAGAAAGTCCCCAATGTTGCTAAGTCTCATGCCTCTGATGTTCTCCCTCTACTATTGAAGTTTATGGGGTACAACACCGAAAACCCTTTGAGGTAATCACGTCTCTATATCTTTTGTTCTTGAAGAGTAATATGAGTTCATACGTTTTCATCATCAAGTGTTTCTCTCTGCGTTTCAGGGTTGGATTATATAACGGTGAAGCTTGTGAAGGAAAGGAGTGGAAGGGGTTGTTTAAACAATGGCTGACTTTGCTGAAGCTGATAAAGATTACAAGGTCGTCACGTTTTAGTCAATTTGTAAACGACGTTTTGCAGTACAGGTTGGCACCAAATGTTCTTTTTGAATATCTTGGAGTAAAGAAAATTTTCATTGACGTCTCTCTGCATGTTGGTTTGTTGTTCCTTGTTTGGATATGTTTTATTAGGTTCTTGGATGATAATGATGCTGAAATTCAAATGAGTGTCCTCGAGTGCGTTGTGTTGTGGAATGACTATTTACTCCCACACCGCCATCGTTTGGAGAATCTCATCAAACGTAAAAAACTGAGAGAAGAGCTCGCGACCTGGAAGTTCTCCAATGACATTGAGGAAGCTCACAGATCTCACTTTGTTTCTCTTTTAATTAGAATCCTTATGCCAAAAGTTAAGAGTTTAAAGAACTCAGAGCCGCGTAAGGTATATATATATATATATATTACATACTTCCTTTTTAGTTTAACTTCACTTAGAGCAACATTATCAGTGGGACTTTTCCCAGTCCCTTAAGGTGAAAACGCGGAGACCGAGGAAGAAAAAGAGGGAAAAGCCCTTATATAAGGGCTGTCCCTTACAAAAACGTGACCAAAAAAAAAAAAAAAAAAAAAAAAACAGAACTTAAGGGCCTTTATCCCAATCCCTCCTATAATGTTGCTCTTAGGTCCTAATTGTTTTTTTTTATGTTGTCAGTGTAAAAGTAAGCAGTGTAAAAGTAAGCAGCCTAAAAGTAAGCGTAAAAGTAAGAGTAAAAGTATTAGTGACAGGGAGGCCGTTCTTGGTGTTATATCTCAGCTGGATGTTAATGAATTGTCCCTGTTCTTTGCATTGTTGATGAAGCCTTTGAACATCATATCAGATGAAGCAACGGACTTGTTTTGGAGCTCAGGCAAAAGCTCTCTTGATTATTTCCAAAAGTCGAAGTGCTCCGAATATATCAACCTAGATGCTCTTTCTACCTTATCATGGAAGAAGAAATCTGGTTTACTTCATGTCATCCAAAGCATACTTAAAGTCTTTGATGTGTTCCATGTCCGACCGTTTCTAGACTTTCTTATGGGATGTGTTGTCCGGCTATTAGTAAACAATGCTCCAAATATCGATGAAGAAAGTAACATTGATAAAGAGATTGTCTCAACAAATCACAACCAGGTAATATTATTATTTTTTGGTGTTTGTTTATCTACACAAAACATTGTCTTGACACTTTTTGTGTATGTGTAGGCTGGCACTTGTTTAAAGCAGTTTAAAGTGTTGAGATCCTTATGTCTGAAGATTATTGCTTGTGTTCTAAAAAAGTACGAGGATTGTGATCTTGGCTCTGAGTTCTGGGACCTCTTTTTCTCAGCAGTGAATCCGTTAATCAAGAGTTTTAAGCAAGAGGGTTCTAGCAGTGAGAAACCAAGCTCATTGTTCACATGCTTCTTGTCAATGAGTAAAAGCCCCAACCTCGTCACCTACCTATGTCGGGAAGAGTCTCTTGTTCCAGACATTTTCTCAATTCTAACAGTCAACACAGCGACAGATGCTATAAAGTCCTCTACCTTGAGTTTCATAAAGAACCTGCTTAGCCTTGAAAATGACATGGAGGACGATGACCATATGATGAAAGGCTTCTTAAATCCATACATAGACGCACTGATTAACAACTTACATTCTCTTTCCCGCTGGGATATTTTCAAAAGGTAAGGTTTCTTCTAAATCAATAGACTTAATTAATATCATCTTTTGTTTCTGCTTCTAAGAAAAAAAGGTGTGAATTATGATCAGGACATCATTCAAGTATCATGGAGAAAGAGAGATTAAGATTCTTAAACTATTGGCGAAGCATATCAGAGATGAATCTCATGTGATGAAGTATTTGTGTGTCTTGCTGTCTTTCTTGGACAAACGTGTGAAAGATTCTGGTACGGTTACTCATATTTCTTTTTCTTCGTGAGAAATACATAATCATGTCTCTTGTGTGTGTGTGTGTGTGTGACTGTCTTATTTTATTTTTTTGTAGGTATTCATCGTGAGGCTTTGCTAGCCATTCAGGACATCACACCGTTGCTTGGTAGTAAGAGTATTAACAAAATTATTGATACAGTCTCTCCTCTGCTTGTTGACGCTGAACCTGATGTTCGATTATGCATTTGCGACCTTCTTGAATCTCTTGCAAAAATGGACTCTTCTCTGGATCGAGTGGTAAGTATCATATCTCTGTTTCATTTCCTTCACTATTTGAGATTGTAAGAAAGTATTGGTTGTGTGTCATCGTACAGGCAAAATGTGTGAGCGATATGAATGCAACCTCACCCATGGAAGTTGATGACCTTGACTATGAAACGATAATTGATGCTTACGCGAAAATTGATGTGGATTTCTTTTACAAATCCTCGGAGCGGCACATGATGATCATTCTCTCACAGAGTCTATACAACATAACGTCAAAAGAAGTTACCTTAAAGGATTGCGCATGCAGCCTCTTGTGTACTTTTATTGAATTTTCAGCCTCTATACTTTGCCAAGAGGCCTCAGCTCACTCGGACATTGGCAAAGATGTTTCAGAATCTGGTGCAAGCTGGACAGGCGATCGCGTGTTGTGGATTATGAATAAGTTTATTTTGAAACATATTGGTGATGCAGTAAACAAAGGAGTCTCTAGTGGAAAGGTACACATTTGTCTCTTTCTTAAGTGGTTCTCGTCTTTGCATTAAGATTGTTATAAACAAATTATTCTGCTGCAGGGTGAGATTATTTTGATACGCAAAATGGTGATGGAACTTCCAGATTCGGGGAACCTTGCTGCATTCAGACCTTTATGCTCTGAAAACGATGACATTGATTTCTTTAAAAACGTCTTTAGCATTCAGGTAAAGTCATTTTTTATCAAAATAGATCATTTAAGATTTTGTATTTGTGTTGTGGTGAGGATGATAGAAACCTTGGAGTGACTATTTTGTTTTGAATGTGTTGTAGGCACACCGTAGAGCAAAGGCAATTAATCGTTTTGCCAAGGAGATCAAAGATAGCAGTCTGCCTGAGGTGATCTCTTTTTTTGCGTGTCTTAGATTCTTTTGAATACTATTTGTTGTAGTTTCAGTGGACTTATGACCAATTGCTGTTGGGGGTTGCAGGGAGTTGTGAGAAACCTCTTGGTGTCAATCTTTTTCAACATGTTGCTTGATGGACAAGAAAGAAAAGATCTACTAAAAAAGGGTCAAAATAGTAAAGATCAAAATGTCTATGATGCATGCGAAGAAGCGCTTGCATCCCTGTCTGCACATATGAGTTGGGATTCATACTACGCTCTATTGAATCGGTGTTTCAATGAGATGGAGAAGCATAGCGACAAGAGCAAGCGTCTCCTGAATCTCGTCTGCTTGATTTTGGACAAGTTTCATTTTGCAAATAGCGAGGCTCATGAGGAGATTAGGGTTTCCGTTTTGAAAACCTTGTTTCCCAAGACAATGGAGCTGAGAGTTTCTGAGTCTGATAGCGTTAATGTCAACGCCTATGTGGCTACTGTGAAGGTTTTAAAGCTACTTCCCAAGGAGATGATGGACTCGAACATAAATCTTTTAATCTATGAAGTTTCCAATCTTTTGAGGAAACCGATGGATAGCACACGTGAGGATGCCAGAAAGGCTCTGGCTGCGTATCTGAAGGAGCTTGGCCTGGAGGATTACTTGCAACTTGTTGTTAGAAAACTGTCTTCTATATTAACAAAAGGATCTGAGTTGCATGTGCTGGGTTACACTGTCCACTACATCTTATCCAAGTGCCTGCCCAGTCCTACGGGGTGTATGTTGGATCATTGTATACATGATCTTCTTTATGTGGTGGAAGCCGATCTCCTTGGAGATGTTGATGAGGAGAAAGAGGGTAAGAAAGATTCAATGAACAAGAGGAAGAAGAAGAAGATGGAAACGAGTAAACGCAAGTCACTTGATACTGTGAAACTGATTGCTGAAAATGTAACGTTCAAACGCCATGCATTGACGTTACTTTCTCTCGTTACTAGGCACCTGGAGAGGCCTATGACTTCGAAGTTAAAATCCAAACTTGGGGATATTTTGAAGCATATTGCAGCTGGTATTGAAAGTAACCCATCTGTTGATCAAGGAGATCTTTTCATTTTTATATATCACCGTCTTGAAGATCAAATGTCTTCTCAATCTCAACCATCCAAAAAGAAGAGGAAATCTTGGCAGCATGTTCAAGAGACTTCTGGTACAAATCCATGTCCACATATCATTACCGTGTTTGCTCTCAACTTATTACACAACAGACTGAAGGAAATCCAACCTAACAGTGTTAACGAAGAGCTGGTGTCTAAGTTGGATCCGTTTGTCAAACTCCTTGTTGGTTGCTTGAGCTCTGTGTATGAAGATGTTATCTCTTCATCTATAAAATGTTTCACTGCATTGCTAAGGCTTCAACTGCCTTCCTTCAAATCTGAAGCAGGTAAAGTGAAAACCAAAGTGTTGGCCATTGCCCAGTCTGCAGTGAGTTCCAATAGTCCTCTTGTGCAGTCAACCCTTAAGCTGCTAACAGCTCTTGTCACCAGTGATAACTTCAAATTAACATCTGAGGAGTTGAAAATGTTGATTCAGTTCTCTCTGTTTTCTGATCTGGAATCGGATTCCTCTGTTGCTTCTCTTTCACTTCTTATGGCCATTGTGAGAAAGAGGCTTGAAGTTCCCAAGATATATGATATCGTCGATCAGGTTTCAAGGTTGATGATAACACATCAGGATAAATCCATCCGCAACATTTGCGGTAAGATACTGGTTGAGTTTTTGGTCAACTATACACCTTCTGAGAAACGCCTACAAGGACATTTTAACTTTCTGCAGACAAATCTGAGGTATGTATGTGCAATAAGCTTTGTGAAATTTAGCCCTTTATTTTTTAAAATTGTAACTGGATGAATCTTTCTCTAGCTATGAACATTCAACTGGAAGAGAGGCAGTTCTTGACGTTCTTGAAAAGCTTATCGATAGATTCCCAAACCCTGATCCCCGCAAGCAGTCAAAACCTTCTCTAGGCCACCAGTCAGTTCTTGACCAGCAGTCTCTAAACTTGTTTATTGAGTTTGCTTGTCGTTTGGAAATAGAAAATGACAAAAACTTGCTGGTCAAGATTTGTGATGTGATCAAGCTTCTCATAGGTTGCATGAGAAATTATAATTCCAGTCTTGAGCTCTCTCTGGGTTGGTATAAGCAGGAGAACTCACGGGTTAGAGCAGCAAAGGTAAATTTCTCTGAGTGCACATGTTATTATGAACTAACTTATTACCCTCTTGTTAAATATTTATCTCTTGTAACATTGTCACAAAACTTTGGCGATTTTTTGCAGTTGATAACTGTCATTCATTTGTTTGGATAAATGTGCAGGTGTTGGGATTATTCATTGAAGCCAAAAAGTTTCCAGAGGAAGACTGCACTAATATAGTGTTGCAAGAGGCTAAAACGATTTTGGAGTCTGCTGTAAAATTGCAAAACACTGTTGAGGAAGGTAGTATTCCCTTATGGAAGGAAGCATACAATACTCTGGTTATGATAGAGAAGATGCTTAAGCAGTTTCCGAATTTATGTTTTCAAAAAGACTTTGAGGTAATGTTCTTAGAAGTTGTTAATCATTTGATATATTTTCCTTCTTTGGCTATTTGAAAGAAATAACCTCCTCTTATTCTTGTAGGTTGTTTGGACAATGGTGTTTCAGTTGTTGTTGCACCGACACGAGTGGTTGCAAACTATAACCTGCCGGCTCCTGAATTATTATTTCAAGAGACTAGCTGTGTCTCCTCAAACTGATTCTCTTCTTGGTACGCCAAGTAGCCTTTTCATGGTAGCTGCTTCTCTTTGCTTCCAGTTAAACCTAAAGTTGGACCGCAACACAGTCATCAACCAAAACAATGAGGCAACTGAAGAAGATTATCTCAGAGAGAATCTTGTTTTTTCTGTCACTGGTCTTCATACAATGATAGGACAAACAGATGATGAGTACTGGTCAAGTCTTGACAATGATGAGCAAGGAAAGTTCATGGAAGCCTTTCTAGTATTTGATTCAGGGAAAGTAAGGTCTACTTTTCTGGCTCTTACTTCTTCAGACAACCTGAAAGGTTCAGGCCATGATGATGTAAGAAATGTATTGGTCGGAAGCTTGCTCAAGAGAATGGGGAAGCTTGCGTTTGACGAGGACTCTCTTCAGATGAGAATTGTGTTCAACGTCTACAAAGAATTTGCCTCAAACTTGACTCAAGAAGAGTGTCGCCTATACGCCTTCAGAATACTGCTTCCTTTGTACAAAGTTTGCCAAGGATTTACAGGTAAAGTCATCACATATGATTTGGAACAGCTAGCAGAAGAGGTGAAAGACAGTATAAGGGACAAGAGCTTAGGCGTTCAGATGTTTGTGAAAGTCTATAGGGAAATCAAAAAGAGCTTGGAAGTGAAAAGGGAAAAGAGGAGGCAAGAAGAGAAGGTAATGGCCGTGGTGAACCCTGAGAGAAAGGCAAGGAGGAAGCGCAAGTTAGCTTCGAAGAACAGGGCTAACAAAAAGAGGAGGATGATGAGGTGTAAAATGGATAGATGGTTACGCTCTTGAGCTAACCATATTTAAGCCATCATTAGTTTATTATTTTATACAAGTTTATCGTCAGATAACATGAAAGTTCATTAGACTACATGTAGTATTTTCTAAAATATTTGCGATTCTTTTTTCAGTTTTCATCAGTTTGAATTTCAACTTATATTAGTTTTGGTTTGGAACTTTATTTAAAACGTAACTCAAAATTCAACTAAATAACAATGTAATCAATATCTATCTTTTATTGTTTCAAGATCTAGAAATAACTGTTGTTATATAAAGTTTAGTTTATCAAACTTATTAATTAATGTGATCGCGACATATGGTAATTATGTGTTTAAAATTGTGGCAAATGTGATCTATCTTATAATTAAATATATATATATATATATATATTAAGATAATAACAAAAACAAATTTGTTTAAAAATAATTATAAGTGTTATTTAATAGTAATTTTTCATTTTTAAATCCTAAACAAATGATAATTGTAAAAGATTATTTGATATTAATTTTATTTTTAATATTGTGACATGTGTTTAAATAGATATATATATATATATAATAAAAAATAATTTTGAAAAATTAAATTTAAAATTTATTTATTAGTAAAAAGTAAATTTAAGAGTTATTTAATAGTATTTTTTAGAAATTCTTTCAAAAATCCTAAAGAAAAACAAAATTTGAAAAAGAGTTGTAAAATATTTTGAAAAAATAATTTGTAAAAGATTATACGGAGGTAGATTCTTCAAAGTTTATAATTAACATGATTGTGATATATGAAAGTTATATATATATATATATATATATAATTGTGATATGTGTTAAACTTTATCATAATTAAAAATAAATATAATAAGATACTAAAACTGATATTTGTTAAAAATTAATTATAAATATTATTTAATAGTAATTTTCCATTTCTAAGATCTTTAAAAAAAAAGAACTGCAAATAATTATTTGATAGAAATTTTTACATGTTTTAAAAATAACATGATTAAATATATATACAAAGAAAATAGTAAAACAAATTTTGAAAAAATACTTTTCAAAATTATTTATTTTCAAAAAATGAAAATTCAATTTTAAAATTATTTAATACGGATTTTTAGAAAATATTCTTTTTAAAAATCCTAAAGTTAGAGATATTCTTAAAATAATTTATTTAATAATAGATTCATTTTCTCAATCCTAAAGAAAAGATAACTGGAAAATATTATTTGATAGTAATTTTCTTTTTAAAAATTTGCTATATGATAAAATATCCCATGATTAATAATACATATAACAAGATGATAAAAGCAATTTTTAAACAATAAATAATTAATTAGTTGTATTTTTCTCTATTTTTTGTTTTTAGAAAATTTAAACAAAAATATTATTTAAATAATTTTTTAATACCAAATATTGTCTTCTAAATTTCAAATGAAAAATATAACTGCCAGAAAAAAATATGTAATAGTAATTATCTTTTTTCTAACAACAAAAACGTAAAAAAATTGTAAAAGAGTGTTTATGTAGTTTTCTTTTCGTTAATTCCTAATCAAAATGTTTTTGTAATAATTAATTCTAATATTTTTATGAATAATCCACTTTCAAATTAAAATAGTTGATATTCTTTTTATAAATTATAAACCAAGAAGAACTACAATTATATATATATATATGTGTGTGTGTGTGTGATTAAGTTATCTCATGTTTTGTCACTTATCATATTTTGTTAGTAAATATAATAAAAGATCAAGAATAATATTAATGAGTTTTTCTGCATATTCATTCATATCTTCGCGTGATTTACTCTTTTTGGATATCACATGTAGAGGAAATAACATGTGAGATCCTGATTTGCATATTAAAGTGATGTTGATTTTTCTAAAAATATATTATTATCATGTTGTCGTATACTAGTTACTGCTACAGTTATACTTAAACGTTTGTACTTGTTGTTTTATGTAAGTTTAATGGATAATATGATTATTATGTTTATGTGTGATTATGCTTATGTGTGTTTGTTCTTATTGTCATATAAAATTGGTTATACTATTGATCATGATATTACAGAATTAAAATAAAAGAGAATGACTTTGAAATGAAATGTTGTAGGTCATGCTACTAGAATTGAAATCAAAGAGAATGACTTTGCAATGGACAATATTACTAATAATTTGACCTACACAACATGATTCCTAGATTAGAAATCCTAACCAGAAGTTATATGAAAAAAACAGATTTTTATTCATAGCATAAGTTTCATACCAACATATATAAGATGGTCATTCAAACTGAAATGACGTTAATTTCTTATGAGTTTGCAATGTAATGATATCAACAAAAGTTAAGGTTAAACCTTAAAAGGTTGGTCTATATTTGCCAAGTCCAGCCTTACAATTATACATCACACTACCAAAAGTCAATACAACTCCGTAGTTTCAGATTTTTAAAACATAACGACAATAATCACACCATATATGCTAAAATAAACATATTTAATGTTTTATTTAGTAGTATATTTGATATTAACTACAACTATTATTATTTTCAAAAATAATTAAAATATTAATATATTATTTAAAACACCATAATTATTGAAATAGAAGTATCAATCAAAATTTATGTAAGAAAAAAATTATTATTATTAAATTAAGACCAATATATACTGAAACATTCAAGAGGTAAAAGCATCTCAAGTCCATTGTTATTTTAATCTCTATAATGATATTTGAAGGTAAAATTTCTCCAACTTACCACTATTTCTTTTTTGTTTCTATTTTTCTTCTATTTCTAATGGAAGAAATAGTAATCCTCTATTTTTACATTATACTTAGAAATTGCTAATATAGAGGAATATATTAGAAAATATCTCATCTCTATTATAGATTTCATTTATTTCAGAGTGAAAATAACAAAATACATTGGAGATGGTCTAATCTAATGTGAATGAAATTTTCATTTTTATGTATCATAAAAATTAAACATTAAATAAAATCCGTGTCTGCACGGATCCATATCTAGTTGTTAATATATTTTGACTTGGTTAAAATGTATTGAAAGCCGGACCGACCGGTTGAAACAATCTTCTATCCGGTTTAAATCATCAAATCGATAAAAAGGCGGTGAATTTGACCTTGACACGACGGCGTTTCATAAGTAAACTCCAAAAAGTAATACCTAAATATTTAATTAGACTGCAGACGGAAAGCTGCGGCGGCGTCGGAGTAAAGAGACGGAGCTATGGCGATGCAAGCCGGAGTCGGCTTATCGAGGATCTTAATCTTAGCCGGAGCAGGTATATTTCACTCTCTCTTTCAATGTTACCTTCCTCGCTACCACTAAATGTGATGGATTCGAATAACAAAGGTTATACTGGTACGATCATGATGAAGAACGGCAAATTATCGGATATATTGGCTGAATTGCAGGTACTCTGACTTTATCTCCTTTTACTCTCCTTGAAAAAATTGACTTATTGTTGTTTCGATAGTCTCTGGTGAAAGGCATGGAGAGCTCTGAGGGAGATTGTGATGATTCTGACGCCGTAGCTTCCCAGGTTCGTCGGTTAGCCATGGAGGTTCGGCAGTTAGCTTCAGCGCGGCAGATAACCGTCATGGATGGAGTTTCTGATGGTATGCATTTGTTTTATGAAGCTTTTTAGTGTTTCTTGTTCATCACGTCTGTTTATATTCCTTTGTGTGTGAGCAGCAAATTTCCAGGCTCTTGTTGTTCCTGCTGTGATATTGGGAGCTTTAGGGTATGGTTATATGTGGTGGAAGGTGAGATGAAAGTAATGTTTTAATTCTTGTAAGTTATTTTTTAAAAGGGGGAATTAGAAAATGTTTGTGTTTTGTGTATTGGTTAGGGACTCGCGTTTACTGACCTTATGTACGTGACAAAAGCCAACATGGCGACTGCCGTGGCTAACTTGACTAAGAATCTTGAGCAAGTTTCTGTGACCCTCGCGGTGAGTTTTTTTTCTAGTTATGGAAGTTTTGCTGGTGATTTATTAAGTTGCAGGGAAGAAAGTTGGATTATAATTTGTTTGGTTTTTCAGGCTGCGAAAAGGCATTTAACGCAAAAGATTCAGAATATGGATGATAAGGTAGATAAGCAGATTGATCTCTCCAAGGGAGTCAAGAAAGAGGTATGGATTATGATTATAGTTCCCACGACTAGAGTGATTAACTTTCATTGTTATGTATCTGTACAATGTTGAACAGTCGTGGACCAACGAAATGTGTTTTTTTTTTTTGGTTAATGCTGAACAGGTCACCTTGGCTCGTGAGGATATAAACTCACTTGAGATTGACTTGGCGTCACTGAATAATTTGATTACTGGACTGGTGAGTTTTTAAATTTCATTATGTATAAGTCATATATAAGCAATGCTCAAGATCACTAGTTGTTGTTTCTCTTGCACTTGGACTTTGAGATCAGATCAGGAACCAGAATTCTCGTTACGAGCATTTCATTCCATTTAGTAACTTTCCTAATTATTATCATGTAATTTTTTTTGCAGGATGGGAAGTTGGACACACTGGAATACAAGCAGGTACAGATTTTTTTTTTTTTTTGTGTTCCATCCTCTTTCAGATGTGAAACACGTGAAGTCCTCTTAGCAGGCATCATTAGCTTGAAAATCATAATCATGGTTTCTTCAATTGTACCGCCCACGAATTGCTGATTCTGTTTCTGGTGGCAGGATGTCACAAATGTTTGCATGTTACACTTGTATAACTATTTTGGAGGCAAAAGCGCAGAACTGCCTGACATGGTAGGGCTTCTCGTAAATCGAATTGATACCTCTCTATGTCTGTATTAATATCCTTTTTAGCGTTAATGTAATATTCCCTTTTATTTTTCTTTTGTAATTAATTTTCGCATGCAAACTTCAATTTACAGGAGCAGCTTCAACTTCCTGTGAACCAGAAAGCTCGTAATTTGCTTGCAGATGTTGAAACCAAGGTGGTCTTTTCTAATTCCACTTAAAAAATCATTTAAATTAAACGAGTTAAAAGGGAAATTAAACCAAGGTGGACTATATTTCGTTCAATCGTTTTCAGGGGCTGAAAAACTTTGCTGAAGAACTGCTTGAAAGCAATGACACAGAGGAGGGAGGAGCAACCACAGTGAAAATTATTGGTATAACAAAGTCCAAAGACAAGTCGAGGCCGTTGTTATCAAGGTTTGATGAATTTACAAAGCGTTATTGTTCTGTATCTCTTGTAAGTTTCGATTTACATATAGATATAAAGTTGTGACAAAGGAAATGTGAATGCAGGGTTGGTTCAGCTAGGTATTGATCATGTGGAAGTTTCTTGATGGCGGTTGGCTTGCAGGATGTATATAACAACAAACTCTGACTTATAACAAAATGGTCTCGTGAGCAGTAGAAGGCTCTCGTATAATTTAATTTATACGTGGGCTTGGTTTGTTTCCCTACTCGCCAAGTGCACTTAGATCTTAATGATATTTTAGTTTGTACTTACTTTAGTGGTGGTATTTCTTTGAACATGGAGTTTGTTTATTGACATGTGCCGCGTCTGCTTTGGAACTCGTAGCAATTAAAATAAAGTTGATGTGGGGATTTTCACATGTGATGTAATTGAGCAATTCAAGCTGAGTTGAGATAAGATATTGTTCAGAGACTTGTTTAGCTAAATGTTAATATTAGTTCAAAGAAACACGACACTAAAAAGTAAGATGGAACCCAAAACAATTTCTACAGACGTAAGTCTAATCATTGTATTGTGTGTGCATCTGAGTTCAACCAACCCCGCGAGTCTTTGATATCTGTAAGAAGAGAAACCAGGTGAGTACTTCTAGTGCTCAAGAACCAACACCGGCACAATCAAGCTTGTCCAGTTTTACTGTCAACGTAAAGTTTCTTTTTCTCTCTTTCATCAGTGTTTTCTAGGTAAAAAGTAATTGTCAAAATGCATGCTAGGTGAAAGGTTCAATATCTTTCTATACATAATACATGGACAAACAAACAAAAACAAAATGTGTATCTTTTTCCCTAAAAAATATTCATATTAACGGACTAACACATGTAGAAGTTTGTGATAAATGTTCGGTTTGATGTGTGCGACTGGGATGATGCGGCATGAAGGGCAGGTAGAGCCTAACTGAAACCACTTGTCAATGCAAAAAACGTGAAACATATGCCCGCATGGTGGCAACACTCGCACAACGTCACCTGCCACATAATCCTCAAGACATATCACACATCTACGTGACCTCGTAGTAGTACATGATTCCGTCGATAGTGTCAGTTTTGGGAGAGACTCTAAAATCTCCTTCTTCAAGGGTTTTAGTTTCTGTTTAAACCTAAGGCGACAGTAGTGTAATAGGACGAAGTAAAAGATCAACAAGATTAGGAGATAGAGTGGGAACGCATCTGCTGACTTGAAGAAATCAGCGACCGTTAGTTCAGGCAAATTTGCTTCTGCGGTGGCTGGCGAAACCGTCAAGAGTGGAGGAGGAGGAGGAGAAGTCATGCATAAGAGTCCTCGAAGAGACTTAATCAAAGAATTAATCTTTCGATCAAGAGAAAATTAAGTCATTAGGGCATACAAATGTGTTTGATCTTATAAATATTTTGTCTCTCAATGCCGACATTAGTCTTTATTTCATAGTTCATAGGAGTTTAATTCCAAGACTAACTTAAAAGGGGAACTATTGTCCTAATTCTATCCACTTAGGAAATAATCAAATTCCAACTCATATTGGGATCATGCATAAAAATACAATTTGTGTATTTAAATTACGTAAACTATATATATTGTAGAGCAGAGACCATGGTATAAAACAATATTTTCTTAGGGTATATACATACTAATTTGATCTTATTTATAACAATTTATATTAGGGTTCATGTTTATACCTTTTTGTGTGCCGATATTAGACTTTAGTTTTACAGCTTATCGGAGTTTAATTCCACGACCAACTTAAAAAGGGAAGTATTGTCGTAATTCTATTGACTTACGGAAAAATCAAATTCCCAATCATATTGGGATCATGTATAAAATACAATTTGTATATTTAAATTACATAACTATAGTATAGAGCACAATTACAAAAAAAAAAAAAACTATATTGTAGAGCAGAGACCAGTATAACAACATTTTCTATTTTTTTATTTCTATCCGCGAAAAATATTCTCTTGTTCACTTTATTTCTTTTTTTTTCTTAAAAAAAATTACTAATTAACTTTTCATAAGAACGTGTTTACTGGGAAAATGTCAGATTACAATTACTATTTTAATTTCATTTTCAACAATCAACGTATATATAGAACCAAAAATATAAATTTACTTCACATATATTTTAGTCATAATTAATTTTCATCACTATTTCCTGGAAACTCTAATTCCTTAGCTGTTAATTACATCATATTTTAGATATAAGTCCAGGAAATTGCACCTCGCAGGATAAACACAAAGTAGCAACATATATTTCGGACTTCGAGTAAAATTTCACCACAAATGCAAAAGCTAAAAGACAATAATATAAGGTCGTTGTGGTACATACAATCGAATTCAAAAAGGTTCCCCATCGTGGTTTGTTAATAAATAATTTTACGTAGAAATTGTGTTCTTATAATATTAGAAAAGAAAATTCTTCGTGGCCACCTACCGATTCCCCACTAGCTCAATAAAATTCAATTATTATTATCCGCGACCAAGCAATCAGTGCACATTGCGATCTTTGTCGCTTATTTTCCACACTAATTGTCAGGTAATAATTAAATACCAATTTTTTCGATACGATTTAAGTAGAATCAAGCTACGTTGTGTTTCTCATCCGGACAGAGCTCAAAGGTCTTCCCACATGGGTTCTCTCGACTTGCCCCAAGCTTCATCATTCAAGGTTTTATCTCTAATATTTTTCTTTTAATGTATAAAAATTAAACAAACTAATCATCACGATACTATATGATTATGTGTAACCAGGGAGGAAGTGAAAAATTTCTCCGGGATGTGCTTGAAAGTATACTGAAAACGTATTTGAGGAAGAATCCGATGGCAAATACGGTATGGGAACTAGTTCAGTCAGTGGACAACGAAAAAGTCTCCTACGATCACTTCTTCTTCAGGACAATTAAGGTACCAATTAGCACTTCAAGACTTGGTAAAACCAACAGTGTGCATGCATGGTTCTGATCAACAAGATGGTATTCTAGGCATCAAGTTTTGTTTTGTAGACAAAGTATATTAAGAATTTGAGGGTACCAGTTTTGAAAACTCTTTGGCCCGGTTCTCACTGTGTGAAAATTGATCCTCTTTCTTTTCCCATTTGGTGTATGTGTTTAGGTTGATGGTTATGGAATAGATTCTCTGTCGAGCTTTTTCATGGATTATGGATATCAAGTTGGAGGCAGACTTGATTTTCCAAAGAAGCATTTACACGTTCTCTGGCTTTCTCCTCCAGATATTAACGTCCCTGGTGAAGGACACGGTCTAGGCAACGGCCCTTTGCCACGAATTGTTATAGCTGAGCTTCTTGTGGACGAACTAAGCCCCGAATCACAGGTATGATACATAATGTTGTCATTATGAGTCTTCAACATATCTATTTTAAGGTTATATTTTTGGCGTTTTATCCATTTTTTTGGTTAATTAGGAGATAATAAAGAAGTATTTGAAACCAAGAGGTGGTAAGCAAGCAATTCTTTCAAGTACTTTGGGGTCTTTAATTTGGGAAAAGCCTACATCCGCCGACTTTCATCAACTTGCCAAGTATATATTTGATAACTTCAATAATCATACGATTTTTAGTTGATACATTTGATGGTTAGAGCTGATCAATTTTTTGAATTGTATGTATGAATGAATGGTAAAGAGAAAGTGAATATGGGGCATGGGCGCTTTTCCACGGCTACACACTGAACCATCTTGCTTTCGCGGTCCATCGACTTAAACACCGTTTCAGTGACATTAAATGTGTCGAAGAATACTTCAAAGAGAAGGGGTTCGAACTCAACAAAGACGGAGGAGCTGTTCTCAAGGGTTATCTTCAAACATCCCTCTCTTGAATGATTATATTCTATAACAATTATTTGTGTTTCAGAAAAAAAAAGATGAAATTTTATTTCAGTGAGTGAAGATGGTCTACTGTTACAAGTGTCGTTAATGTCGGAGAAACATGAGGTTGAATTTGCAGACGGGGTAACTGAAACCATCACGGCGTCATACATTGAGTTCGTTCAACGTCTAGTGCTTCCACAGTTCAAAGATGTGCCCAATGATGAGGTAAGAAGCTTTTCACATTAACTGCTTCTTACAATATTATTATACATTTTTTTTTCTTGTGATGCAGATCAAAGAAATTCATAGACGCGAAGGCCTCGAGCAAGCTAGCGCCTACCACATAATGGAAAGCACCCGTTTCACAGCACAAGACTAAGACCAGCTGGCCTGTCCTGTTCTGCTCATTGTGACATATTTGCGGTATCTTTACTTGTTCATATGTTATTTGGACCATTTGCGTGTTGGACTTTTATGTTGTACTTGTCTTGTGAAGTGACAGGTGACTTATGTTACCTCTCATGATGTTTATAGTTATCGATGAGTAACTGAGAACAAAGTGCGATCGTTTGGTGTGATATTTGATAAATTGTCGTGTACTTGTGTTGGACCTTTATGTTGAACTTGTCTTGTGAAGTGACGATCCTTATATTACGGCTCGGAAAATCCTAAAACCGATGATTGTATTACTCAAATTTGAAGTTATCTAAAAAACATATTGGAATAGAACAACCATCAGAAACAATATTCACTATAAATAATAAGCCAATGTTGATAATATGATATTTATATACGATAAATATATATATTGTAATCTTTTAACAATTAAAATAAATACCCACATGAATGTGCGGGGTTAAAATCTAGTTAGAATTAAGAATCATGAAGAAAAAGAGTGCACAAAAAGTATGGCGAAAAATCCCAACAGGCAACGACCGCTCTGTTTTTAAAACCATAGCAGCTGGCAATAATGATCTTGATCATGAGAGTGGTCGATCACTAAAATGAAGATTTTATTGTTATTCTTTCTCATATAAAGAGATTATTGGGCAGAAAAGCATAACATTTATTTTTTATTAATATGGACTTATCATAAATTTATGGAAAGATTCCGACTAATTTTTAGGGTAGATGACCATTTTCTTTAGATATTTAAATAAGATCTAAAGCATAATCTCATATCCGTATTAAGGTCGTTGGATTGTTACAAAGTCATTGCTTGGTCTAAAACTATAGAATATTCATTTATAAACGAATGGGTTCCCTATGTCTTAAAGTTCTTATATTTTTTTTATTGTGAGCCGCCCATTTACTATAGATCAAGTGGTGATCAGTCGAGTCGATTCTCCGATGAGAAATTCCGTCTGGTCGGGTTTGATCTATATGGGAAAATGAATAGCCTATACACCTTACTTCTTTAGCTAGTGCATCCGCTCGTCCATTTCTACTCCGCGGAATATGAGACAGACTCACATCCTCGAAGTCCTCCCGTAGTCGCCGAAACACCTCGATCTCTGTCGCGAAAGCCGACCAGTCCTCCAATCTAGTAAACATGTCCATTAGATCCGAACAGTCCGTCTCAATCCGTATCGAAACTATCGTCAAATCTCTCATACATGAGACTGCTCATAGTAGGCCTTCCATCTCGGCATGCAGAGCTGATAGGCTTCTTCTACACGACCGTAATCCGAACCATTCAGAACCCATTTGATCCTTGAGACTCCATCCTAAGCCACTGACACTACCATTATCGATCCATGATACATCAATTTGGCATGTAGGGGTTTGGAAGATCCTATGGGGCTCTGAACTAGGAGGTACCTGTCTTGAAGTTCTTATAAAAGTACATCCACATAATATTTGTGTTTTAAAAAAGAAAAGTACATCCGCATAATATTTGAATAAGATCAACCGATGAATTATAAGGGAAAAAAGAAAAACAACCAATGAAAAGCAGTTGGTTAAAAAATTATATCAAAGATAGAAATGAGTCACCTTTTGCTTGGGTACATAGCTAAAGTGTCCCTGTGTTGCCGCATGACATTACAGCGTATCGTAGAGGTAGAGGTAATAGTACGTTATCTTCTTCTTCTTTTTCAGTATGCCGCGTGAAGTGCTTTGAACTCGGTATGTAAGATTACAAGGTCAAGTTTACAATGTTAATTAAGCTTCTTCCTATCTCTTTTTATACTTTTCAAACCTGGTAAAATATATGCTCCAGATTAATTTTTAGCACTATAACATAACGCAATATTAGTCACTGAATGTGATGTTTGGTTTTTCACTGTTTCATATTGTCTTGTTACATTTTCTTGAGAAATAATCCTTCCCGAATCATCAAATAAGAAAAACACTTCCTTCGCTTAGTAATGTACAAGAGATTTATCTTATAACTTTATTTTTAAGAAGTAAGGCTAGACTCCACAATTATGATCCTAGTAGACCTGCTTATTTGCTCGTACAGAAAGTCT